GCTGCCTTCACTTTGCCCCCCACTGCTGGGGGGGGGGCTGGACTGGGGGGCAGCTAATGGAGATTGTCTGGGCTGCCTCAGAGATGTAGCTCTTGCCTTAACCTTCTTTTGGGAGCCCTGTGGGGGCAGCCTGGAAACCTGCCCCCCCAGCTTCTTTGTTTGCCAAAGTTTGACTCCAAGCCAAAAATCAGGGGGCAAGGCTGGGTCGGGGGGCGGGGCAGATCCCTGGAAATGGACCTGGGGTGTCCAGTGGAGGCCCCCCTGACTTTTCCTCAGCAGTGCAATTGCCCGTCCAATGGGGGCACCCTGGAGCCAGAGAGAGACTCGGCAGTGAGGGGAGCTGGGCTGGGATACTGGGGTGTCCCCTCCCCCAACGATGCTGCCTCCAGGTTGCGGATTCAAGATCCATCAAGACCTCGTAAACTGATGTTCCCGGCGGAAGCCAGGCGTCTGGGCCTGTTGGCGCAGTGCTCTGTGGCTGGGGGGAGGCGGGGAGCAGAGCAGCCCCCCCCATGGAAAGCGCAGGACACCGGGGTGTGGTGGGAAAGACGGCTGAGTGCGGGGGAGGGGCACGTTGTCCCAGGATGGATGCTGCCTCCCACCCAGTGTCTTGCAGGTTTCAGAGGACGCAGATCTCGGGGTGGAGGGTGAGGTCCAAGTTTGGGAGTTTTATTTTATTTTATGATTTTTGTTGTGTAAAGTGCTAATGGTTTGGGGTTACTTGCTGAAGGTGGGGGGCGGGTAAGGGGGTCCCTGGGGCTGTGCTGGGATGGGGGGCCCCCAGACAGGTGAGGGGCTGGGCTGCAGGGCTGTATCTGGTTGTGCTTTTGGTGCTGTTCAGGTTTGGTGTATTTGGGGTGTCTTCAACTCTTGACACACCCCCATCCTGGAACCGCCAGTTCCAAACCCCGCACCTGTGACTCCCGCTCATTCCCTTCCCTGACGTTGTTCTCCACAATCCCCCCACCCCACCCTCGGGGCTGATGAGTTTGGGAACACACAACACTAGAGACCAAAGATGGGGCGTGGCAATTGGAGAGCAGGAGTCCAGCGTTCACAGGGGGACCAAGACAGCTGCCACCCTCCCATCCTTCCCCTTATAGGGGACTTATTCCCCCTGCCCCCCAGGCTGCTCCCTGGTGAATCCGTGGGGCATATCCCCCACCCCATCACACACACCCCGGTGCCCCAGGAAATGGGCACTGTTGGGCACTGCTCTTTGCACAGCATCCTGGAACGCTGCCCCTGGGGGGGTTCCTCATTGGGCATTGCCTGGCCCCATTGACCCCCCCCAACTGCTCTACAGCAACCCCTATGGACCAAAGTAGGCAGACCTCCTCCCGGGCAGCCCCCAGATCTCCCCTACAGCCAGATCCCCCCCGATCTCCCCCAAATGTCCCCTTCCATCCTTCCCTAGGGACAGCATTGTCACCCTGTGACCCCAACGCCCCCCCGGGCAGTGTCGGGGAGTGGTGGCAGTTGAATCCACTCTCCCCACAATGCTTACAGCCTCTGGGTGCCCCCCTCCCTGCAGCACCCACTGCAGGGTCCCCGATCTGCTACACTACAAGATGGGGGGATTGCATGCTTCTGGCCCCCCTTTTGGTGCTGGGGCTGCAGTTCCATACTCCTGCAGAAGGGGGCGCTGCCGCCTGCAAAGAAGCAGGGTTGCGGGGTGCCCAGACCATGCCTATGGGGGATGCTGCAGGGGCAGGGTGAGTGGAGAAATTGCTGCCCCCTGCAGGCCGGTGTGGCCTTTACAGCCCCTTCGGGCAGCACTTTCCCTATGCTATTTATTGGCCTGTGTTTACCCAGGGAAAGGACCCCCCCACAGGGTGTGGGGCAGGGGGAGCCCCAGGAGCTCCACCCTGGAGTGAGGCTCCTCCCCCCCCCCATATCC